ACCACTCTCACATTCCCTGCAATCACCAACAAACAAATCCCAACTAAAAAGCGAGAAGACGACTTTTTGAGATGGAGAAAAGTGGGAAAGATGAAGGAGAGGAGGAGGACTGGATACACACACGGCTCTCTTCTCATGGAGCTCGTGGTGGTTGGATGGTAAAGTCCCATTGTGGAAATAAATTGTCATTTGTGAACTCTTTCTCCCTTTATGCCCAAAAAGTTACACTCGTTTGATTCAATTCACGGGAAAATATCTGCAGGAGAGACGACGTCGGATTTGCGACGAAGGCAGGCAAATGCAACAGCGAGAGCAAATGTCTTTAAGCAAATTACATATGTTCTTATCATGTTGAACTCGCACCACCACCAACCAAACCACTCACTCCTCAGTCAGGGCCGCCTAATAAAGTGGAGCATTTGCATTCAGTCTCATTTGATAACTTACTCCGTTTGAGGTTGCCTGCCTGAGAGAGGAGCTGCATAACAGCGGGATATGTACGTCCAACGTCGAAATAAGTGTATGCAAAAATGAGAGGAATTCTTTTGGGAGCTGAAATCCCATCTTCACTTTCCTTTCCTCCTGCTCCTTCGACGGTGCTGCATTATTAACAAATCCCTTCTCTCCTCAACACACGCTTATCTCGAGACAAGCATAATAATTGCTGGCTGTAAGGTAATCCACATCCCCACATCTTTTGCACAAACTCTGCCTCCTCATATTTCAAACAGCCAGAGCTCTAATGAATTATGTCGTTATCTTCCCTGCCTGGTTTAAAGTTTTCATTACATTTAATGCAAAAATGGAGCCTCGTCCTCGTATCACCCTTCTCCTGATATGGACGGATTTAGTAATGCAAATATAATAATGTGAGCAATCTGTCCACCAAAATGTCTCATTTGTCGCAGTTGCCATAAAATTCTCCATATTGTTACAAAGCATTGTAATAATGTCAAGAAATCCTCGAGTTATGCGTATTTACGTTGTGAGGAAGAGGAGCGAGAGTGCTGAAATCGTAAGAAGACGACGACGAAGTGGTTGTTGTGAAAGGATGCACGTCGCCACGTCGTTGTTTCCTTCCGAAGTACTCCAATTCGTACTTTGGACGGTCAATTCAATTCAATACGACTTCCATTTCCTCCGTCTTATTATTACTTTATTGTCGCAGTGTCCACATCCTCCTCCACTGCTCGATGCTTTTAAGTTTCTCCCATTTCCTCCTCGCTCGCTCCCACCCAGACAACAACAACGCCGCCGTCTTCACACTCCTTTTTTTACTTACAACAATAACCACGACACTCTATTATTTCAGTATCACGGAACTGCCACACTTTACAATAATGAGAAACGGCGTCAGCGAGTAAAAAGCAGGCATGATGTCAAATAAAAATCGTCGTCAGCACACACAAAAAAACACCCGTTTTTCTTCCAGAAGTTCCTCATTCGCCCTTTTTTATTTTTATTCTCTGCTCGACATCTTCTCATCACGCAATTATGGTCGTGTCGGTCGACAAATACGTGTTGGTCATATAATGGCAGGGGATATTTTCAAATATTTTTCACAATGGGAAAAGCGAGTGGGGAGGATGAGAATTGTGTGTGGCAAGGGGCGAGTTAAGAATTGCTTAATCTTGCCACACTGCTAGTAAGCAAATAAGTATACATAATATGTAGACGTAGGTGGACGTCGATATGTGCTGGCGTCAGAACCCATGTTTGTAATGCCAGGTTGTGAATATCTTTGGAAATCTAATCAGCGGAAAGGTATGGGGCTGGTGGTGGATATGGATGGAGTGAGACAGGAAGCAGGGAAAGTGATTATTATTTACAAGGCAGCTTTACCTTCAGCAAGGCAACATCGGAGGAGTAAGTCCGTAGCGTTGGGCATTGGGAGGAGGACCATGTGCAGCTGCAACACCTGGCCAGGTTTCATTTCAACGCGTAACCAACCAACGGGAACAAAAGGCTCATGGACAATTTCATTACTCAGCGAACAAGGATTTGGGGAAAATAAGTCGCAATAATGAATTCTGGATGAAATTTGAGTCCGAAATAAAGCATTGGTGTTGGTGTGGGGCACTTAATTTTGTTTCGTACTTTATGGCCCTCGCTGATTGAGATCTATCCGTGTAAAAGGAATCATGGACGTTGGTCATAAAGTCTGTGGGGCTCTACCACCAGTCCACTTACTTACACACAGATCTATGGCCAGTTAGTGGTGCATGGGCTCCTTAATTGTTTAATGCATGGTGTGTGTGGTTTGCTTAACCAGCCAACGAACGACCCCTACTCACACATATGTACATAGGACAACATGCATCTGTTGTACATACTCGAGTCCAAGTTGCTAGCAGAATTATGTACAATGTGGGATCATAATCATAGCAGAACATGATACGCCCTGCAGATAAGACAATAATGCCCAACATTTGACCCAGGCGACATCGTTATTGGTCTGCATCGGCAGAAATAACTGGGTGAGCTCAATATTATTATTATTGCCACTATTATTATTATGCTGAGCATGATGATGACGATGAGCATATACTGAGCATACATATTTACTCGCTTCTGCGACATGTTGACTCTAACCCTACATGAATTGGCCCAGTTTTAATTTAAGCCCAACGACATGATGAGTTGATTAAACAAAGGCTCGCTGGAGGGAGGATGGGGCATGAAATATGTACACGTAATATCGCTCTGGTGTTAATTGGGCAGATGATGATGAAGCAATCGTGGAGAGAGCCCTGCCCTACATTGGACGGACCAAGTGAACTCCTCGTGTGCGTGGGGAGTAGGAACTAACAGGAATAGTAAAGAAAGGTGCAAGCTCTTCCAAGGTAAAGAGGAATAAACTTGGGTCATATCTATGAAAAAGCATATGGCTTACACTCGTGGCAGGAAGAAAACACCTGGTCCCTGTCTGTTTTACGGCTGGACCTTATTTGCTTATTTTACTATTTCCCCTCCAAAACTTGCCTACCAGCATCGCCAGCCAAGGGTCAGCCTGGATGATGGAGGTGAGGGACATGATCACCTTTCCTGCTCACTCACTCGCTGGAAACAAGCCATGTCACAAACCCATATCATCAATGATTAGTATTCCTCAGAAATTATGCATGAGTTGTTAAAAATCCATCCATGCACCCACCCACGCCACGACAAACAGCAGAGGCGACAACAGTGCAAGCTCTGTCTGTCTGTTCCGTCGTCTGCATAAAGACCCAGTCAATTAAACGTCAGACTATTCCGCTAACCAACAACTAATAAATAAAGCACAGAGTTCGGAATTAGTAATAAGCAGCGTCGGCCTGAAGCCAAAGGTGTGTGTGCAATATCGAGTAAAATAAACATGTTTTGCCCGTAATGAGCAGTTTTACTTAAATGGAGAATAACTCATTTGCAATTAAATGCGCGTTAACAAAGAGTGGTTTCACCGAGGAGGGAGCATGTGTGGGAGGCTAAAGTGGTAGCCAGTTCCATTGCATAAGTAGGCAGGCAGCAGTAGCAGCAGGTGTCGGATCTTTTGAAGAGAGAGGCGGAAGTACATTGACTTTTTTTAAAAACCACGCCGCATTGGCCAACATTTGCAAGAATCCGTGCTTCATTCTCCCAGTTGCTCCACTTGCAGAACGAGGAGATTTAAAGTTTTAAAATTGGAACTGGAGGAAGTGGTGGAAGGTGGTAAAGCCAAACCATCATCATCGTCATCGCCATACGAGCAGTGTGAATGGACAAAGTCGTCTCAAAAATGGTGACAAAAGTTGGGCCGAGTCTTTAGCACACACTGCAGCGCAGCCGTTTTTTCGCGTGTCGTGGTGGGTTTCCTTATTTAAATGGAATAAGATTTCTCTCCTTGTTCTAGTTTGATGACTCAGATATAGGAAATAAATGACACTACACACTTGGTAGTTGTGCTTTGTAGCTCTGTATGTCCCATGCAGTAAGTAGTCGTGGGCTGGGAAAATCAATTCAGAAACTGCCCTTGGTCGATCCTAGCGTGGAGCAAGGAGTACAGTTTTACACTGATGTGCTGCTGCTGCTGCTGGCTTCCTCTTACAAACCATTACCCAATAACCCTTGGCGTAGTGGGGGAGAAGCAATATGATTTGATTTCATTCGATTAAAAAACTTTCCCCTTTTACTTACAAACTGACTGACTGCCTGCTTCTCCGACTGCACATCGCATGCGATATCAAACTCTAAGTGGGAAATTCTACCAGCATTTTTGTCTCTTAAAATTGCTCGCACATTTTTCAATATTCCTCGTGTCTCTCTTTCCTCAGCCCGTCGTCTCCCCAGAGCCCAATCCCACACATTTTATTCCTCTGTAAATAGGACATTTGTCACTCATATGCATTTAATCAGATGGAGAGAGAATCAGTCATCCTGACTTAATAAATGGTCTCATTTGCATTTCACAAATCCAAAAGAGTTATCGGCTTTAACGCTCAATTGATAATGTAAGTCTTGGAAATAATGTCCGTTTCCCCTCCGAACATGGCCCTGTACTAATCATGGCTTCAGCATTGCCACGTATTTACGTATCTACGTATGGATATACACGTCAATGTAAGAAAGACGAGCCAAGGTCCCCCAGTCGCATTCATTCCTTCGACTTTATTTCTTTTCCTTGTACACGTTTGTCTCAATCGTGTATTACACGGATGAGGACGAGGAGGAGGACGGAATTGCAGAAAATGACGACACATACACAAATAAATGCTGGAGAGATAAAGGAAAAAGCGGGTTAACGTCTTGTAATGCACTTATTTATCCGTAATGAGCCATAACTGATGAATGTTGCAGATGAGGAGGATGAGGAGGAGGAAGCCGTCGCTCCACCAAAAACAGAGCCATGCAGACATTTACGACGGGAGGCTGAACCGCTCCTTGCTGTCTACTTATATTTTATCCATTCACATAAGAATTGACCACACGGCTCGTGTGTATCATATGACGCTTGGGTTATGCAATATCTCAAATGTGAGACTTACCTCGCCACAGTGCGGCCAAAATGTACAGGGCTAATGTCCACGAGGGAATCATTCTTCTTGCCTCGCCTCCACTCCTCGCAGCAGAAAAAGCAGTCGTGATTCCACGAGGAAGAAGATGAAGTAGAGTGAAGAAGCGCCGCTAAAGTCCAGCGTAATGTGCGAGCGTCCTTATCAATAAAGCCAGATCCACATCACTTATACTTTCTCTCTGAGGAGGACGTCAAGTCACACCAAATAACGAACAAGAACGCCACCACCACCATTCCCAGAAAAGATTGTTCTCGTCCCTGTAGAATTATGACTTTGACTCTGGCAACGATATGACACGAAACCGATGGTGCAACTAATTCTCCGCGAAGTTCTTATAACAGCTGCATCCGCGGCGGTACTTTGTCTCTCCACAATAAAATGGATCCCTATCCTGTCCTGTGTGATGATCAACAGTGTCTCAACTATGTCACATTTGCCCGATATTGGGGCATAGTGGGAACATTACTTTCCCAATAACAATAAAACTGTCACCTTCCCCTTAAATTCTGTCCAGTTTCTTAAACAAGGAATTCATCAAAGGACGCTGCCTATGTGTCACACACATGACCGCGTGGTCTTAATGTCTGCATGTCAACTTCACTATATAAATATGCACCCCTTACTATTCTCCTGTTTTTTCTCGTCGTCAACAATAAATATGTTGAGATCGGACACTGTTCACTCTGTTTCAAATTCGTGTTCAGTGTAGAAATATTTGAATCCGAAGCTTGTTTCAAAAGCGATGAGAGGAAGTCCGTGGTGATGAGTCAGTCTCACCAACAACCCCAACGAAAGGAACGACGCAAGGAGAGAGACGCTGGTCGAGAGTGGAGCGAGAGAACACCTTCCGCTTCAGAAGAGTGGCACGAACTGAAGAAGGAAAGAGTCGGTCGGCTCACCAAACTGACTTCCAACAACCACCACCAAAATCCACCCACCCCATGGACCGACTTTCTCCTCACTCAGCGGATGGAGCTTACATAACCAAAGCCCACGACCACTGCCCGACTCTGAACTTTCTTTCTTATTAATGGCTCCACACATGAACTCGTTTTAAGATGAAATGTCAAAGCTCTCTCTCCTATGACGGTCAACATTGGACGCGGGGTTCCCCTAAATATTTATTTCCTCTCCATTCTATTCTGGTGAATTGAGAAATTGACAAAACTGAATTTACTACAAAATTCGGCTGGACGACGAAGGAGGAGAGATTTTGGGGGGAGATAGCCGGCCGCTGAGGAATATATGTACGTAATAATAGGAATGCAGCTGAAAAGCCAGGCCGGAGCTGTTATGTTTCCTGTGCAGGAAGGAAGAGGGGATTTCCTCCTCGTCCTCGACTATCTTCCGTCCTCACGAGGGATACAAGGACAAGTGGAGATTTGTGGGTGGGGGAAATGAAAAAGAACTGCATCCAAACTTCCACTCACTATTTGACGTGACAATTTGTGCGTGGTGCGAGGACTTTATAATCGCATTCGTGTTTTGTCTCCGATTAAAAATAAGAATACGACAGTATTTTACACCGGCGGAGGACAGAAAGGACGCCGAAAAGCGGGAGGGCAATCATCATATTTTATCATTTACACAAATTCCATGCGTCAAAATGTGGGCATCTCTTCAACATCCACTCCTCGCTTGGACTCCATACTTGTTCCATCCCAATGTTTTCTCATAAATGTGTGTCGAAATGACACAGGCACAAAATGAAAATATGCTTGAAATCAGGTTCAAATTTCCTTGTAGGAAATGGGTAAAAGAAACAGGTAAAAAAATCATTTCGATAAATCAACTCTCACCGCTATCTAGAACTAGATTAAGGTTTCAGCCTTACGTTACTTGTGATGTGGAAAGTTGACGAGCTTTAATATTATTTTCCAATGGGATCGCACAAACTGAGACCGTTAAGAAAGAACTGAATACTATGAACGAACATGGGAAAAATGCCGTTTTTGTGTTCAGGGTGAATTTGAAACATGATTTGGGAAGTGTGTAAGCGGAACTGGAGCCGACCATCCAGCGTTTCCAGTCAGGAACGGGAGCTCCATCCATTAGAGGAGATTTGAAACTCGGGAAATAAATCCTCTACGTCCTCCCGAGTCATTTCCTACCCGAAAACTATTTAGGAATTTTTACTATGAAATTACGAAAGATGACAATCATGAAAATATGTAAACTTCATTAAGTAATGTTGTATAAACGTATGGCAAGTATGTACTACTCGTAATTATTAATGTGTAGAGGGGTATATTTATCACTGCAGATATCATTTGCAGTTTTGTTTGGAATGCTGTATCAGAAGTGGCTTATTTTCTCCAATCAATGTTATAGTAAGGTCTTGTTTCCTCCTTGAGATCATATTGTTCTGTTGCAGGTGGAGGTGAAGCGGTCCGCCTCGTCGTGGTCAGCGGAAGTGGTCGCGGTCTATTATTCGTTGCTGGGAACCCAGTCGTCCTTCGACCTTTGGGGGAAGGTGAGGACCACGAAGGTGGTGGAAATGGGCGTGGTGTGGATTTGGTCGTAAATGTGGGTAGGCCCCAATCCGTGTGACGACTGTACGGGATTGCACAAACGCCTTCAAATTTCACACGCAGCTCTGCAATAAGTTGAAAGTAAAATGAAAGGTCAGATGTTAAGTCACAAATTCAATCAAGATGCCATTACCTGAGTCACAATGTCTCTGAGCACAGATGAGCTGACAATGGTTGACGTAGGTGGATCCATCCGACCCACAGAATGGAATATAATTCTGAGTACAGGGACAATTGTTTAGGTCACAAGCGTGGATCAGGGATCCTCCCACTGAAAGTTGTAGCAAAATCTCCAGAATTAAAATTCTTGGTGGCTGCATGATATTATCTACAAAATTTCGACGGCTATTTCGGTAATAAACTTGAAAATAGTGGCAGAAATTTATATTAAGCAATATAACATGCGTAAATAATATTTTTATGCAAACAATTTCTGTATAAAAATGTCGAAATGTTTCATATTGTTCTATTCCCTGTGGTTTATTCATGTAATTTGCGGCTTTCCTACTTTTGGATGACACAAACTCGAGTCATGAACATGAATTTATGAACATAAATCGTATAATACGTAATGACTTTTATTTTATGTATCAATTCGTCCTCGTTAAGTCAATGGAACTTTTATTTCTGACCAGCTGGCCATTTTCATACGTCCAATTTCTTCTGGTCAGCAAGCATTTATGTCCATACGTGTGTGAAATATGCATTGGTTTGCTCCATGCAATTGTTCGGATGCGACTTTATTCATGGACATCCAGAGTCTGACATTGAACGGCGACTCCTACTATTTAATTAGGAGAATAAGTTCTCCATCGCTCAACCAACGACGGTATACATGCCATGACATTTTTTCCTACTCCATTTCGTGATTAATTAGTGTTTGATGTAGAACAATGCTTCCATAATGAACGGGCGGATAGAAGTACAAAGTCATGTCATGGCCATTATTATTCGCTACAGTTTCGAGATACACATGCATATCGTATCGGCATCCAGAAACTTTGAGAGTGTTCAGCGGTGAACTACCACAAGAAACAGCGACACATTGGATGTTGTTTGCAATTCTTAGCGAATGTGTATCTCATTTGTGCTGAATGGAATTGGTCAGTTTATCAGAATGAGTAACGTGGTGTTTTTTAGCAAGTTGAGTGCTGAGCTTGTAAAAAAGAATCCTAGTTGTTGTCCTTGCTTTAGAGAGCCACGAATATATAGAAGAGTGTCAATTTACTTAGGATTAGATAGCACTACATTCTGCACAACACAGCACAGTCACAACAATCTCGCTCAGCTATGTGTATAGTAGTTTTCCATGCTAAATGAAAAAGGTTATCATTATGAAAATCAGGACGTCGAAACTTAACGCTAATCCAAACTGCCCGATCCAACTTCCAAGCGTAATCAGCTCGTGAACTCTGCAAATATTTTATGCCTTTTCCACACAAGATGATGACGTCGAGCGGAATGGAAAATATCATTCAGAGCTGCTCACGAAATCCATGCAGCGTTCGTTCATTTAATTGGCAATGTGGCAATATGCTGCTTATTCTGGTGGTGGTGGGACGGTGGGATTTCTTGACAGAGGTTGAAGTTGACAATGAGAACTGGAGAAGCAGACCTGTCAGTGAACTTGATGATGAGGAAATCTGTCCAGTAATAATGCGGCTCCAGTGGAGTGGTCATAAAGAAGAGTGGTCTTCAAGCAACAACATGCGCCGCAGTCCAGCGTCATCAACATTGTTCAATTTTTGCTCAGAATTGAGCAATTTTCGATAAGTTATTCAAAACTGAACTAAATTTGATATAATTTGGTAAGTAGTCATAAATAGACACAATAAACCGTTACTCAAAAATATGCCTACATAATATGCATGTTAACATTCTTATAGTAGAAATGTTCAAGATTTCTGCATTCGCCGTCCTTCTTCTTCTGATCCCAGCACTCTGCAAAGTGACCATGTCCTCAGGAGAACCATCCACAATTTCACCGCTGATTAATGGCACAGGGGTGGATGATGGTGGTGGTGGTGAAAATCAAGGCCCCGGATTTCTGACCGGCTTCATATCCTCACTCGAGGTCACCATCCTTTCAGAACTTGGAGACAATTCCTTCTTCATTTCCCTCGTTCTCGCCATGAGACATTCGCGAATCGTCGTGTTCATCGGGTATCGTATTTACTATTAAATATTATCCCAGACTCACTGTCATATGTCAAAAGATAAATTATCATTTTTAGAGCCATGTCGGCCTTCTTCTTCATGACCATTTTCACGGGTAATACATAGATCACCAAGTAAATTTCTAAGGACTGCGTACTCATTGTGACCAATTCTAATAGCGTTGTTTGGCTTGGTGTCCACCCTGATTCCACGCATGTACACGTACTATCTCTCAATCGTGATATTTACGTGCTTTGGAGTCAAAATGCTTCATGACGGCTTCACCATGAAAAAGACGAGAGACGTGGATGAACAGATTCAGCAAGTTGACGACGACATGAAAGCCGAGGATGAAGATGAGGACGAAGTAACCAATTAATTTACAGAATTGAACTGATGCACATTTTCAAAATAGTGCAAAGTATAATTTTATTCATGCAGGAAGCAAGTGTGCCCATGACTGAGGTGGCAGCTGCAGGAGTGGAAAAGAATAAAACCTCCGACTCTGAAGATTCTGGGTGTTGTACACCTCTGGATGGCGACCCCATCACTGCGCCACCTCCGACCTCGGGTGACGATGGGAGCACCACTACGTCAGCCCTCCAGAGCGTCCAAGAGGAAGAACTGGACAAGGGCGCAGTTACGCTTCCCAAGAAGAAGGACCCGACCAAGAAAAAGAAGAGGAGCGGATTACGGAAGTTTTGGCGTTCGAAACGTTGCCACGTGTACCTTCAAGCTCTGACCATGACATTTCTAGCCGAGTGGGGAGACAGGTCGCAGTTGGCGGTCATTGTGATTGCTGCGACGGAGAATATTTGGGGGACGTGCGTCGGATGTCTGCTGGGTCATGCCATTTGTTGCAGTATTGCTGTCGTGGGGGGCAGACTAATTGCCAAAAAAATCTCCGTCAAAACTGGTACAAAAGATTTTCATTTTAACGTCTCATTTCTACTTTGGCCAAAGTCGTTGGCCAACTCGGATGGATTAATAACTTTTTTTTTGTTTTTACACAGTTACGATAATCGGGGGGATAATGTTTTTGGGATTCGCAATAATCTCCTTAATTTTCTTGAAACCGTCGACTTGACATTTATTTCGTGATGCTGCACAAAAGTACAAACTTTTTGAAGTACAAAAATGGGTGTCATCCAGGGCTAAAGACACGCTCAACCAAGAAAATGGTCAGTCTGGCACTGATAAACTAATTACCTCTTAGTTTTAATGGTACTATTTACTACTTTCATAATTTTTGTAATACAACATGTATGTAACACAATACACGTTCAGATTAGATTAGTCTCTTCTTACGTTACTTTTGTATCTTGATAACATGGTCAGAAAAGAGAAGAGTAAACAACCCGTTCGGAATCTTGACTTTATTTCTGCCAGAAATTGTTTATTTGCTCAGTCCAAACATCTCTCAAAATGTGTAACCAAAGAATAGCTTTTGATCCACTGGTAAGCAAGCTTCTGCTTATTTCGCCTATATGCGTGTGTGCCACTAATAACGCTACTCTGGCAAAATCGAGTGGGTAAAACTCAGCTCAGGTCGACGAGCGATAATAAAGCATGGAAAAACAGACAATCTCACTGGGACGATGGATCGATTTTCCTGGGTCGCAAAACGCCGGTGCGACCAACTTTCTCTCTCAGTCACTCTACTCGCTTTCTCTGGCCCACTTCCGTCCTCCGCTCTCTTCCTCTCTCTCCAAATTCTCGCAAAAACAATCTTCCCACACATTTCCAGCTAATCTCTCTCCAGAGTGGGCGCGACCGCGACGGCCAATCTCAAACACTGTGCGACCAAGAGTCCTTCCGACTGAGCAGTGCTGCTCTCAGTGAAATGGGGGGTTAAGGTGTGGAGGGCAGGGGCCCGCTCGGGTGCCCTTCCTGGTCCTAGTTCGTGGTGGTGTGTAGGCATATCTAAAATATCTCTCGTGTGCCCATGTGACTGTGTCCAGTTCTAGTGGGGTGGTCATGTCCTACTCCCACTCCTCCTACCCGGGACACATCTTCATCACCGGAGTGGACGACGACTGCATTGTGAGCTCATTATTTCTATTCCAAATTATTATTGAGTATCATTAGAGGAGGTTTTGAGCACAACGACTGAGGTCACCGCGGGAGGATGGGACATTTTGCATGCCCCATAAATCACCATGCTCCAGAGTTTGCAAATAATGCGGGTATCACGATGGCATGATGATTGGTTTTGCAAAGTATAGAATAGAATTTGCCAATGCATCGATCAATCACAGTATGCACACAATACACACACGCGGAGGAAAATTGCAAGTGGACAAATGCTGAATCGGGTTATTATTGATTAGTTCCATCCGCCTTCTGTGATAACAAACATGTATTCTGAGACTTTTGTATAATGTAGCACAGGCAGTGGGTGAGATCACTTTGCAATTAATACTTGAATAATTGCACACAATGCGGCTGTGTAATAATTCTATTTGAAGTGGCAGAGACAGGAGGCAATGCAAACCTTTCACAACAACGTTTGCACTTAATTTTATTTGACGCGCCGACAATTAAGCAATCGTCTGCTCAAGAGTGAGGGACATCCTTACGAACATGATGTCGGTGTCCGTCCGCACATAATATCTGTCAATGTCACCGTAATTGTATTATCACTGCAGTATTATATCACTTCGTGTTCGATAGTGAACAAGTGCCACCGATGACATGACAGAACATTCTTCTTCTCCGCTGGCTACGTATGCTGCTCCTCCCCGTTTTCGGTAGAATTGTTATTGCCAAAATTGGCGAGCGTGGATCCTGGAAATGTGTAATGTAGAGATATGTCGGCAAAATATTTCCAGGTATTTAGTGGAATGGCTCCTGCTAAAATATTTACCTAGTGCGTGAGTAGTACTCACTGAGTACGTAAGAGCGAGATTTTAATGATTAATGGGTTGAACCGTCGTCGTCGTCGTGATGAAAACGAGGGAACGAAATGTCAGACAGTCAGCAGAACATTGAGAAGCACGGAACATACTAGAGATCTTTTTCCCCATCCTGTTTGTTAGCCTTGGCACATCTTCTTAATTAAGCCAATTATGCTGCTTATGCCAGAAAGATGAAAGCGGGTCTTGGCCGGAAGGTTGCTGAAGACTTCTATGCACTCATTAATTTAATCTCGCTCTTGTTTCATCCATCTACTTTGACCTATCTCAGAAGTGGGGAAATATTCTAAATACTGCACAAAAGCTTAGAATGGTTGTACATGCATATTCTCGGAATTTTCTTGAGAAATGGGAAATTCCACTACGACTTCCTTGACCTGACCCACTCATTTTCGCATTATTTTGCCATATAGGCACATACATACACATGCATTAGACATTGGGTTCAGGTAGTAGTACGTAAATGTCACGACAATATGATTCGATTTCTATGAATTTGGACCATCTCCTGATCGCATCACCCATCCCATTGATTTTCATGATTACCTGTGATCACGCTATCTTCATTTTTATCGTTGAGCAGGTAACTCGATCACACTGTAAAAGTATGTATGTCGAGATGTGTGGATGCATACGTTGTTGCTGGGTGGTTGAAGCCCACAGAGGTATTTTCTGCTTTCTCGTTTAACTGATTCGTGTTTTAGATGATGATGATTCAGGTCGATGATCGATTATTTGGAGCAAATTGAAAATCTTTAGCCGAGAGAGAAGTGCAGCATAATCCTTCAGAACTCCATGCATAAATCGGGTAGCAACAACACCAACGACCGATTAGAGTCCAGAGAGATGAGATATTATTAGCAATGCTGATGAGATTTATTCCCTTGACACACACGTGAGCCAAGCACCGCAAGCAAATTCCTCTCTCGAATTCATGATCAAGTTGAGCTTCTTGACGGGAATAAAAAAGTCCATCTCATCCTCACTCTCACTCCTCGTGCTCTTGGTCGTGGCAAATAATTGCTTTCCAGCTCCTCTCCTCAATGGAGGACAGCTTGGTTTTAAATAGCTCTCGGAATAATGGGCATCAACACAATAGGGATCTGCCAGAGTTGACACTCGACAAACATCATCGGGCAGGAATATGACTAGGCTGGAAACTGATGAAAGGCGACGGGATGGAGAAAAACCTCATGGACTTGAGAATTCATGAAAGGTTTTGGTTTGCAAATATCATTCCTCTTCGTTATTGCCAACTCGGCCTCAGGAGATCTCGGCGGAGACGTAAGGATCTCTTGACTACAAAATGAGCAAAATAAATTCACGGTTTAATTGGCGACACTGCTTATCTACTTATAGACAAATGTAAGTAAACCAGAAAATGGCCACCGCACCAGCAGCAGCAGCAACACTACTGATCAATAAGTAAGAACATAACAAGGAACAAATTGATTGGACTTTGAGACGAGAGCCGCAAGCCATTCACCTGCTTCTGGTGGCTCTGGCTTGGTGACTGCTGCTGCTGATGTAGCGTTGCGTTACGGGGACCAAGATTAAATAATAATTTGATTGCTTCTCCACTGAAACCATGCCCTGTCGTCCTGCAGTCTAGTTCTTGTGGTCCAAAAAATAAGACAGCCTCAGCGGTTCTTTCTCAATGCTCGCCTTTGCTATCGGCTTTGTGGGCGATGATGTCATTTTTAGGTTGCTGAATCAGAATCAGAATCAGTCAAGTCAGTGGTTGTTGCCAACTCAATCTGGAGCATTTTAATTTTTCACTGCAAAACTAGTTGGTCTGCTCCAAATTATTGATACGAGTATGCAAAGTGCTGCAAAGTTAAGAAACACGAGAAAGGAGGATCTCTTGTAGTAAATGTGTCTCAACAACAGAATACCAATTGACTCCTTCGTCTTCTTGGTCTTTAATATTTTGCATTTAAAAAATACTTTATGCATCATAAATGCCAAATGATTTTTTGCAAGATCCGCCCATCGTGCAATTATTCATGCAATTATTCATACTGTTATTGTAATGCTCGTAACGTCACTAACTATACGTATACATATTATATTGCAACTGTTGCAAAACTGCTCTCACACATTTATTGCCTTTTGACGAGAGCAAGCAGGTTTATTAGCAGGAATAAATGGATCCACGGACGGAATCTATGTATGCGAATTTTATTGTTGTATGTAACGTGAGATGTGTTGTTATCGGATGTTATTTGATTTTGCAAATAACAAGTAACTTCATGTACAAAACAGAAACATGTTGGCGTCTCAAGAAAAAAAAGAGCAAACTTAAAAGTTTGCTGACTGAATTAAAAACATTAGGAGGACAAATATTTATGGATAATTTGGGTTATGTAGCTTGTTGTTCTGGAGAAGATTTCGCAACATTAGTCTTGTGCAGGAAATTCGGGAGTTTTGGCGAAATTGGAGTGATTTAGCTTTTTGCACGCTAGTAGCTAGTCAAACTTGTACTCGGTGAGTAATATTTTTTGCTGGTATCATGATTTGATGAGATCATCATCCAGCCGCCCAACCCATTCTATACTTTTGCCATGAAAAACTGTATCAAAGTTGGGGGAAGCCCTCGCCTTGACTTGGTTGATGCTGTCAGCCCAAGATTACCCAGTGACAATGAACAAACGGGATTAATCCAGAACTTATTTTTCAACCCATTGAGATCCGGTATCATCGTGCCATGTTCAACACATAATATGCCACTCCTGATAATAATGTCCTCACACTGGACCAGCCAGCCAGCCACCAACGATACGATATCATGCGAAATGTGAACACTGCAAAAATTGCAAACCCTCTCATTTCATTGCACATCACAGCCAGAAGCCACATTTGTGATGTGCAAATAATCAACAGCCTCTCTTTCTCTAATGGCTGAGCAGGAGTGCTCGGGTTTGTGCATCCATATTCATGGACAATTAAAATGATGGATTTCACGAGCTCGTAGCCACTTCATAAAACACGATTTGCATTTTGTTAAACGATGTTGAAATTAATAAAGTCATTATCTTGTAATTCTTATATCGCCATCGCTGATAACTATCAGCCAGAGAGTGCAGTTTTGTGATGATGTAATTTTGCAGTTCGAGTGGATGTTCGAACTATATTGTCCCAGAACCAGGAATGCAGCTGACTGATTGTCGACAACGTCTGACTGACTAATCTTTGACTTGTTTCCGGGAATCGCATTTCAACAATCATTCATTTTCCAATAACTTTTTGATCCAGATCAACCCATTTGATAAATATTGTATCTCTTTATAATACTGCCTACATGCATATAGTAATTGCTCCAACTATGCTACTTAATCCTTGTTGATACGTTCATTTTGGGGATGCCAAGTTCCTTTCCGGTTCTACATAGATTTCTCAAAATAGAGCTGAATCACACATCATCCGTTTTCTTGAACAATACGTTGTTTTTCTGTGGAAAGTTCTGGTGATTGATGTGCGGTTTTTTAGACCCCATTAAACATGAGAAATTATGTTGGCAACTAAATAAGGACCAACTTTGTACTTTGAAACATGTGGCATTGACTGGCTGGGCAGTGAGATGTCGAGTAACTTGTACAATTTGCAAACATCTATTCGCCAACTTTGGAAAGCTGTCGTGGTCCAACCAAGTGACCACAACGGCACTTTTACTCGTTAAACTCCAAATATAAATAAATAACCAAATGGAGTGAGCATAATATTTGCATTTTCTTGTTGGGTGAGAGTTGCTGAAAGTGTGTTGCCAAATATCGTGTCAGTATATGTATATACCAACCAACCAACTCCATGACTCAGTCACCGTGGGTATATTTTATTTATCAGCACCCATTTAATTATAACGGCAGGCGAGAGAGGGGTTCTTCTTCTGTGGGGCAATGGCAGTTGGTTGGTGGCGTTGCATATTCATAAACCCGGGTGTTTTTTGTGCAAATGGTGCTCCTGCCTGCTCCTGCTGTTGTCGAATAATAAGTCCATGGGTTATTTTTGAACTTCACTTTCGCTAAAAAAGATTATATGATGGACTCACTCCTCGACATTCACCAACGATTAAATGGCAGCAAGAAGGGGCTGGCATAATATGTGCTTGCATTGCAGCGTAGCACATGATTTTGGTGGTGCTCTGAGCATCAGTTTACTTCGTCAGTTCACTTCGTGCCTCGTTGCAAGTAGCAGCGTTTCTCTGCCGTTCTCCGCTTAGTTTTTCAGCATTTCTACACTTTTTTACCGGATTGTTGTTAGTCAGAGATTGCCACCTTTTACAATATTACAATAAACAGAAGGCCTTGAACTTGAAAGCGAAAGTGAAGAATATATACAATTGCCTCAACTGTTGGTGTGACTTAAGGAAAAATATTACAGGGAAGGACCCTTGAAGGAAGGACTCCTCGCTGTACAAAGCTGAACAAAGAAACACAATTGTAGTTTGGAAGAAAAAGTTGTTTTCAAGAAATCTTTGTCCAGGGTTTGAGGCATTTTGAGAAATTATTGATCTCACTCTTTGAGCTTTTTTGTGTTATTTCACAGTTATTGTGGAAAGGGATGTGAAATTTGTGAAGCGACGTATAGTTAGCTAACTATTGTTTATTCGTGATTAATATTAGTGGTATATTAGTACTTCTGGTGGGTGTTTTGGGTGCGGTGGTGCATCGAAAATGAGTCCAAGTCCAAATAAATCTCAAAAATATAGAAATGGAAATGGACCAAAGGTAACGAAACGATACACAATTTTTTTAAGTAACCTGAAATGAACCCAAGTCGTCACCGAAAACAATATTTCTTAGTTAGTCATTTATATATAGCTGGAATGTCTTCTTTGTTCGTGTATTAAAAGAGGAGGCTGTTGGAGTAAAAATTGATTAATTTATATTGTAATTGGAGACTAAACTTTAAGACCAAACAAGCTATTGTCCTCTTGTTATCATGTTTGACTCTGTTCACTTCGACAAATTATTGACAAACAAACAGGAAATCATGCCGTCACCACTTTACTTGGTCGTCGCGAACTTATTGTATAGTAGGAATTAATAATAATCTCAGTTATAGCCAGGGCATGCATGTGCTTGCAGCGTGTTCTTTAATACTTTCCATTCTTTATTGAAATAGTTGAAATATGCACAATACACGGCTTCCTGCTGGGCATACACCAGTACCGCAACGTGGAATACTACAGGTCCTTGTCACCAATCCTTTTGACGCCACACACGCGATGAGAATACATTGAAAAATTATTCTTGAACTTGTTCCCGCTTCTGGTTAAGGTTGGGTTTGTGGAACCTCCACATTCCTGATAACAATTAAGGTGTAAAATCCGCAGTAGTTGTGATCATGGTGTAATAAAGGGCTTATCATTATTTTGTCGTCTCCATATCATCATCATCAACATCCCGTTGACGTGTTGACGTTCATTATCCAACTGATGGATATATATGTATAAGCGTGCTTTTTACTTCGTCACTATCTTCACTGATTGACAGACGACGAATTATTGTGTCCTTGATGAGGATGCAAGCACATCGTAGTAATAATAGTATCGCTATGATTAATGATTAGTACTTTGACTGCCATGTGCTCTACACGAATCGACTTGGGCGACCGTGACCTGTGTTCATGTAAAATATTGCACCTCTACATATGTATGCACATACTTACTGCCAGCACTCTTGACACGTCGATGGAGTGTGAACGTGCTCATGTATAATAATTTCGATTTGAGCAAATTATTTGCTCAAATTTCATAAGTTTCGCATTTCGGTTTTCTGAGTTCAATCAAATGGTGATGTGGTCAGGCAGGCTGAGAACTTTAAACTTATGTATCAAGAGATTATGCATTGCATATTGGTTCCGTAGAGTCCCGGTGGTTTCCATTAGGAGATGACGCGAATGAATGGGTCATAAATTTTGATGGTAATATGGTGTCTGGCTGGTCTGAATGTCCCACAAGTTAAGAAGGCAATTTCCATCACATGTGCTCAGCAGACGAACGGAGTATCTATTTGCATCTGGTCAGACAGCACTGACTTGGATTTGCGGGCCCTTTGTTGTTGAACTACTAAACCAGACAATTTAAACTATAATGTGCAACTGCACAAATAAGTGACGAAATTAATACATCGAATCCGAATCAGTGTTTGTTGCGTGGGTTGTCATAATGAGGTCAGTCATTCCTATGATTTCAGTCGGAGAGCGAAAACTCAGGGAAATGGGAGGACGACGGGATTTACATGAAGGGGGAGAAAGCGCCCCTCTCTCCCGTCAGCGAGGCCATCGACGAGGACGACTTCGATGGGGGCATCATGATGTACGATGTCGCCGAGGTGGGAGTACCTTCGGTATGTGAAGAACCCTCACTCATGATTCATGATGGCCATGTGTACAAGGGAAAGTTGTGATGATACCATTCGTGACAGGTCCCTGATGGAGGTTATGGCTGGGTCATTGTGTTCGCCTCCTTCATGTGCAATCTTATCGTCGACGGAATTGCTAATTGCTTTGGCGTCTTCCTTCCGAAATACGTGGAAGCATTCGGTGTGGGGAAGGTGAGGGGAGGGATTTATAATTTATTGGTATTATTTGATTTATTTATTGATTTAAATACATTTAAATAGGGAAGCGTCGCCTGGGCCGGCTCCCTCCTGTGTGGCGTCTATCTCTGTGTGGGTAAGTCCATGTACTGGATATTCTGGATTGAATCCCTGCTGAACTTTGCAGACTTATTAACTTAATCTCACCAGAAAAGTGTGATACATTTTTTTCTATTTGTGATGGAGGGAGCTACAGCCTGCATATATATCTTTATTTTAATATAAATACATACGTATAGATGCAACTTGACTTGTGTGACGGAATGACATTTTTTTATTCCAGTTCATGGCTTGCCAGCTCTTTTCTTATCTCTACAGTGTCGCATAAATCCTGTTTACGCTGCCCCAACAATATTTTCACGAACTAATTTTAGTTGACTATATTAAGCAAATTCCTATTTACATACTCAATCATCCAGCCAATTTTGTCATCATGTTTCACATTCTTGGATGAAAAAGTAGAAGCATCCACAAATTATTAGTAGGTATACATACATATTTATGTACATACTTATGTACATGGAAGGAATGGGATGCACATTCATTGCTTTCATTCAGCAACACGTAATTTATTTCGAATGTTATTGTAAATACGTGTACTCAAGAACTTGAGTGGCTTCAGATTGGAATTTTGGAATGAGACATGAATTAGATTTGGCACTTGGCTGAAGGGAAGGAGGAAATAACATAGTCTATTCAATTATATGCATATAAATATATGTACATACATACGTAAATGCCAACTTTTATGGTTGATGACTAATTGACAGTTGAATAATATTGGACCAATTTCAGATTTTCATTAACAATAAGAATTGGGAGTTGCTATTTCATTACTGATTAACCTGATATACTGTTGCGTATGTAGATGTGTACAGGTAGTAACTCGAGTAAATTTGACACAAAATGCAAGACAAGTCACAAATCATATTTATTATTATCGACGAACAGGTATGTGAGACATGATATCCAACAAGTACTATGCACTTCGATTGCCATGTTAAAACAATAATGTGTCCGCCAAGATACCTGCTTACACCTGCACAATCAACAAGTAATGCCAATCTGTTACAGGGCCGGTTGTGAGCGCTTTGACCAACAAGTTTGGATGCAGAACGGTTTGTATTGCGGGATCCATCGTGGGGTAAGCTCCATCATTTTTATCCATCGCCAAAAATCCCACAGTGTTTTATTCATTAAAAAAATATTTGTGTCTGTGAATCCCATTTTTAGGTCGGTCGGCTTCGCTCTGTCCTCGCTCTCCTCCTCCTTGGAAATCCTCCTCATCACCTATGGCGTGGTCGGAGGTAAGCAGGGAAGGGCAGGCAGCGGATGGTGATGAAATCAAATTATGAAATCTTTTTCTCTCAACTCACAATAATTCCGTACTTTACAATATTACTCAACTCAATTAAATATTTGAGTTAAATTTCTGCTGAGTTGAAGGGTAGTGGTGATGAATTCATGATGATGTGAGGCTAAAGGTTGTCGCCTGTCTATCAAAATTTTGACTTTTTCTCGAAAACAAACATAATGAGGAGATCTCTCGGTTATGTCACCTCATCCACCACCAAATATTTCTACCATAACCAATCAGTTGTACATAGTTCACTTGCGCAAGAACATTATCAAATCTATCTGTCAATGACCACATTTTTATTTACCACGCCATCAACATGTTGATGAAATTATTGAAAAGCGCCGATTTTGTATCTCCTCAGTCCTCATTATATACAAATATGCAAGCGTTATGTAAGATTCATTAATGTGTTGAATGTATGCAAATGGCGTACATGTGTATGATGAAGTGAGATCAAATTTTGAAATTCTTAATGTTTTTATTTGTTACAGGGGTCGGTTTTGGTCTCATTTATCTTCCGGCAGGTTGGAGCAATTTTTAATAGGCCCCTTAATATGAGTACATCGTTTCGAATTTGCATTTAACATAACTATTATTTCTAGTCGTTTGCGTCGGGTATTATTTCGAGTCCAAGAGAGCCTTCGCTACTGGTAAGTGTGTCATGAAATTGTTTACAACGGTCTGAACCACATTTTCTTATGATGTACATGAATTGCAGGAATTGCAGTGTGCGGCTCAGGTAAATGGTGTAATTCTAACATATTAAAGTAATATAAAAATGCACGTTTAATTTTGATTAATATTGTGGCAGGAGTGGGAACGTTTGTTTTCGCCCCAATTGCTCAGATGCTGCTCGGCGTGATGACCTGGGATCAGGCAAACCTCATATTTGCCGGTGTCATCCTCCTCTGCGGAGTAAGTAACATATAAACTTAAACTAACAAAATCCAGTGTCAAATTTTTGCTGTTATCGTTAATTATAATGTGATACGTTATTTCAGGGATTTGGACTGCTCATGAAACCTCTTGAAGTGCAAGTTCAGATGGAAGATGAAGAAGAGTATGAAGAAGATCCTGATCGCATTCCGAAAACTAAACCACTTCTTCAACGAATGGCAGAGGACAAGAGAAATTATTTCGATCGAGGATCACTCTCTGGTAAAAAAACAAAAACAAATAAGTTATTACTAATTTATTATTTATTGACACTTTTGAAATTCTGTTTTTATTTGACAATGGGACATGCAGGATCTGCATATTTTATGGTTCAACTTCCCGATGGAACGATGGAACGTCGTCAAAAGATGCCACTCAACGTAGATCCAGGCGTTCACTCCAGTTTTCATCTAGACCAGTTGGTACCTGGAAATGCACTCACCCCCGTTCCGACCTTGCCCACAATCACGGAAGCGAAAACTGTAGAATCTGTGAGTGGAGGTAGCAGTGGGATATATTCATCTAGTGCAGGAGGGGATAAGAAAGATCAGGATGAGACTTCTTCAAATTCAAACCCCCTGCCCACCATTCCTGAACCCATTCCAGAGTCACCAGAAGAGCGTGAAAGCCCAGATGGGGATCTTCCAATGTCGATGAGCATCCCAATTCCCAGACGTGGTCCGAGAAGAAACAGTGAAGGAGTTGTGTCTTCATCATCACCTTCGTCCAACCAGGGCACTCCAAGTTCCAGCTACAAGGTGAAACATAACGAAATTAATTACGGATATTTTGTAACACTCGTCTTGATGAGTGTCTTTGTTTGATCAGGAACGGGAAGCACTGGCAAATCGCACTCCTAGTAAACCTATCCCTGTGAGAAAGAGCATTACAGGTTCCACTGCAGGCACAACTGGAGTAAATATACCGAGAAACGGTTCCGCACCTCAGTTCAACTATGCAAGAAGCATTCCGAAGAATGGGAGCGTCCCAGTGTTCAACCAAATGCAAAGGAAACATTCTTTCAAAGCAGTGCCCATCGGGTCCGTTAATCCAGCAACACGAAACAGCAAACCAAATCTTCAGGAAAGAAGAAGAAGTTCCATTAAAAATTCAGTGCTGTCATTTGTCTCATCTAAACCTAAGCTAAATGGTGAGACCTGCCTTTTATAAATTGGAATGAATAAATATGGTCAGTGTTCCTTGGTGTGGATGTTTAATTGCTGAGTGAGTAATTTCTTAATTAATTTCAGGAGGCCAAGAGGATGATTACAATTCCATGTGGAGCAAGCAAGAACTGTCCGACGGTCTCATATTTAGCAGTTCTATTAAAACACAATCCGCGGAGCCACGCCATATCGTTCGCCCCATGTCGCGTAAAGACATTTTCTACTCGGGATCTATCGTGGTATGTGCACTACTTTCGTTAATTTATCACTAAATAAAGTAGACCGGACTAAATAAATATCTAAATGTTTTCAGAATCTCCCAGAGTATCAAAGTCAGAAAAGCCTTCATTCTTATCGCCAAAGCATTCTCAATCTTCCCAGAACAGACACACAGGCGGATGGTAATATCTGGACGGATAAAAATAAATTTTCCTACCAGTCTAATTTAATTATTAATTATTTTGACTTTCATATTATAGCTTTAGACGCAGAGATGTCACCAGCTAAAGAGGCGCCATCCTCATGCCCTTGCTTCGGTTCGGGTCCGGGCGCCTTCAAATCTGCTTTGGCGCAAATGATGGACTTTTCATTATTGAAGAACCCCGTTTTCATATTCATTGCTATCAGTAACGTTTTTGGAATGCTGGGGTTTTATGTCCCATTCGTGTACATTATGGATGCTGCGATCGCTAGCGTAAGTACTCCACAGCTAATAATCCAGTGATTTCTCTCCTAACCAGTTCAAATGTTTGCATATAATATTAAATCCATGTTGTCTGCCACAGGGTGTTGATAGCAACAATGCTGCACTACTATTGTCCATCATTGGAGTGGTAAATTTTTCTAGTCACATCACATTCTGATTACCTGCATTATTCTGATCCTTGTGTTATAATTGTCCATTCCAGACGAACACGATAGGTCGAGTGGTTTGTGGCATTTTATCAGATCTTCCGCAAATCAATTCCTTCTTCATGAACAATATGTGCATACTTCTATCCGGAATCTGTATTTCTTGCGTCCCCTTTTGCAGCAGCTACTACTCCTACATCGGCGTGGCAATATTTTTCGGCCTCTTTGTGAGCGGCTATGTTTCATTGACTTCCATCATTTTGGTGGATCTACTCGGCTTGGACAATCTGACAAACGCATTCGGTCTTCTTATCCTCTTCCGAGGCGGGGCTTCGATTGTTGGCGCTCCATTAGCTGGTAAGATCCATACACGAGTTAGTATATATGATGCATGCCGAGTTTGAAGAATGTAGATTTTCAAATAAATCATGCAATTGTCCTGTTTTGTGTGCAGGAGCTTTATACGACACATTTAAGAGTTACGAAATTCCATTTTGGGTGGCCGGGGGATTTCTAATCACGTCAGCAGCTATAAGCTTCATGGTTCCATGTGTGACAAGGTTTGCCCCAGACAAGAAAGTTCTGCAGCCTCCACTTTACCAAGTTGGCTACTTGGAAGATATTCCAGAAGCCGCAGAATCTTCGCACAACAATAGTGGCGAGTTGGACGATAATGAGAAGAAGGAAAAATTTGATCAAGTTGAATCTTCACTGTAAATGGAGGACGAGTAGGAGGCTAATACATATACATACACTATGAGATTCTTCAATTTAGGACAAAACATTGATGTGACAACAATTAAGAAAAGAAACTGGAAATAATAATCCAGACGTGACCCCTCGCCCCAGATGATAATTCGTCATTCCCATCAAATACTAAACAGACAGAATTTGACGAATTTGTCCAGTGATGTGTAGTTCAAAAAATGAAAACGATGGACATCCTTTCAATCCAAGGAGATCCAAGGAATGAATCTTATTTTTTCATCTTATATGCAGTGATTCTAATTATTATTGTTTTAAAACATTATGTGTACATATATGACATTTATTGTTATGTTTATTTGTTGTTCTTGTTTGTTAATATGTTCATATGTACATATATTTGACAAATTCGGTAGTATAAGTATCGACTGATGAATGAAGTGTTTTGCATTCCTTGACAGTTTCATCAATCACTAGATTATAGAGATGCGTGATTCTGCCGTGATGAGAGGATAATTTTTTTTCAAACTTATGTAATTTATTGTTGTTATTTCATATTTTTTATGGAATCGTGTGTTTGAATATGAATGTAACAAGGTACGTACCTTAATTTTTTGGGGGCGTTTCTAATATTATTAGTAATTTTAATGAGAATGAATATCATTAAGTACATAAATTATACTGTTATACGAATATATTCATACACGTCTCCGATGCGACTCTGTGTGTTGAGGTGTGGATACTCTTCGCCGTTTCAAACTGTTGGCGAATCCTATGTGAAAATGTGATGATATAAAATTTAGGAATATTTTCCAATATCGGTACGTTGCACGGCTTGTGTAGAACGGAGAGAGATGTGTGTACGTTTGTATTCAATGGCAGCATTATATAGTTCTTTATGCCTTTTGAAACTATATAATTTGAAGCATTTCGAGCAGTTAGTAGCGTTTGCTGTTGTGCAAGCGAGACTGAGGATGAGTGGTTTGGTAGGCAACTTCTGTGATATCACCTTCCCAACGACTCCCAACCAGAAAAGCACGATGATTAATATGATTAGGACGATGATATGCTACATACATACATAGTTTGTAAGTAATTGCTGCTTGAGAGAACTGTACTAAAGGTAATAATACTTAATTACAATATATTTAAAATTGCACCTATATAATGCCGAACGGAATACCATCACTCACAGCCCTCTTGTTACTTGCCAACAGCAGCACTGCGATACGCGACTCTTGCCTCATATTTATAAAATACTTAACTCAATGAATACAATCAAACCCATCAATTCAAACCTTTCACCGGTTTTCTCTTTCACGACGGCTTCGCCTAAGCAGCAACGAAACCCATGTAGATTTCGTACAAGATTTCTTCAACCCTGTTTTAATTAATGTAGGTTATGTACATTTCAATTGTAGAATAGCGTGTGTAGTTTTTATTTTACAACGTTGTACATATATAATTAATTAGTTATGTTACGTAGTTGAGGAATTTTACTTTTCGTGACGATAAACTGAAACTTATTACATTGTACTTGACATATTATTATCATTTCAAAATACAAAGAAATATATGTTTAACGAAAAATTGCAAATGATTTTAATTTGGAACATTTTCACTCTGATTTCATTTTTTCATTTCCAAAGTATTTAACCCCCAAATAGATCGAGGAGCGATACATGAGGCAGTGTAGATGAAAACGTGACGAGGCATTCATCCTTCTTTCTGCCATGCCTGGTTGAATGTCAATACTCCGACCTTTGGCCAAGCTCCAAAACACAAGTGACGATCAAGTGATTGAGAACGAGGAATTTATTTTCTTCGTTAATGAAGAGAGCAGAGAGGAAAATTGGTTATAACAGGCAAGGTGGTGGTTGCTTTGAGAGATCAGTGTCTTGCTTTCCATTGTCCTGTGCGAATATTCATACTCTGCTCTGCAAGCAGTGGGGTTAAATAATCGTCACACAGCAAAAGACCAAAAAGTCGTCTGAATTTTTAAGACTTTGAGCTCATTTACATTAATTGTGACATTGCACTATCACAGTTTCCTACTCTTCACTCCATTCATTTCATCGCGTCAACACATAAATAATCGTTTCATTATTATCGCTTGGACAAGTTCTGCTCTATTTCCTATAAATTCATGCTCCAGAAATGCACGTTGTTATTTATATTCTCATTTTACCACCCAAGCAAGTAGTTACATGCATGTAAGTAAAACCACTCCATTCCGAAGAAGCACATTAGATAACGGTGCATGTTGTGACTTTGAACGACCAATATGTATAAATATGTATCTGCAATTCAGTGAGGGCAGATTTATTCATTCGCCACAATTAAAGATATGCAAGCCAATAAGTCAGCGTGTAACAGGGTTGGTGGATTGCATAAGGAATTCAGGCATGTGAGGCAATAGGCAGGCGAAAGTGTAATTGGAATCGATAAGCAGTGATTGAGCAAAACAAACTACATGCTCAAGAGAGCTATGAGAGACAATCACGGCACGCTTGTCGTTTCCTTATCATCATCACCCACCGACCTACGGACCACCCGACTACATTACCCTCGCACTCATCTTTCCAACTACTACCAAGCATTGTGCAAGTGACAAACAAGAGACAAACAAATTATTATTGTGTGTTTTTTTTGGACAAACCACTCCAACATCTCCTCTTGAGACCTTATCGTCGTCGTGTCGTCACTATCCTCGCATTCATAAGCGGAATATTGTCCACAACCTCGAACGGGTGATCAGTGACCATTTCACGTCGTCCTTATGCACCAAAAGTTGTCGTCAGTACCATTCCTCCTCGGATCCTCTAATCCATGCGCTTACTTTCTACTCTTTTTCATACTACACTGCGATCTTCTCATGTGGACAAGTTGAGTCGAGAAGCGAAAGACGCAATATTTCTTACGTGAGGAAGATAGTGAAAATCAGACGAGCACCACGCATTGAGTGTGTCAACTGACTGCGATGTCAAGTTGTCAAGATAAGTTGGATGGTGAGACGGGGAGAGGGTGATAACCCAGGAGGGAATAGTGCACATTATTTGCAGTCTCGCCTAATCGAATCAATACTGCAGTTGGGCTTACAACTGGACGTGTGCTGCTGACAATGCACTCTTAAAAACATGTGCTCAATCAAAGTTGATAAGTGAATATCGTACTGAAGTGGGTTTTAAAAAAGTTCGTTGGAGCGGATGCAGTGAAAATATTTGTTCTTTACGCGACGAAACTGATTATTACGACGTAAATAAAAAAAATATCTCAAATGAACTCCTACTAGGAAATATCCAACATAGTCACAATTAAAAATGTCTCAATTCGCCTCCACACCATCCTGACGAATATCCGAGCTGTCCTTAAGTAATTAGAAACCTCGTGTTAGCTAATACCTCGTGTTATACCCTTGTGACTTATATTTAACAAATAGTTCTTCCTGCATATATACGGTATCGACATGGGAAAGGGAAAGAAGAAAGCAGACGATGAGAAAAGGCCAAGTTTTTTCATTGGAGAGCAAGATTCCAAACCGGTCAAGGTGTGCACTTTACTTGTCGAAGTCATTATTTGTCTTATCGTTGCATTCTGTCATTTTCCTTTCCGACAAAGATTGTGGGTCCGAATGACGAGGAAATCACGTTGGAAGAAGTCATTGTTCCGCCGGATGGTGGGTGGGGTTGGGTCATCGTTTTCGCTTCCTTCCTCTCAAACTTGGGTGAGTCTAAAGTCTTCACTTATCTGAATTTTCTCTCTCAATAATTAATTTCATTAATCGTAATTATTGCGAATTTAAATGAAGTGGTGGACGGGACTGTATTTTCCTTTGGTATTTTGCTCAACCCAATCCATGAAGCGTCTGGAAAGACGATCCCAATTTCAGCTATTGCCTGGGTTGGTTCCCTTGCGACGGGTTTCTACTTCCTCGCGGGTGAGAAACATTTTGGACACTCTACAATCTTACGTTGACTAATTAGCAAAATATCAAATTGTACAGGTCCCGTCGTCTCCGCGGTAGCGAATCGCTTCGGATTCCGGGTGGTAGCGATCTGTGGCAGTATTATGGCGTCCTTGGCCGTTTTATCTGCGTGGTTCCTATGTCGAGATCAGCCCGTGATGCTGGCATTGTTTCTGCTCTATGGGGTTGTAGGAGGCATTGGGTTTGGCATGATTTACGTCCCTGCAGTTATCGCCGTCGGATTTTATTTTGATAACAAGAGAGCTCTGGCGACTGGTTTGGCTATCTGCGGTTCGGGTAAGTCGACAGTTATCGACAAAATCAGCCGTTATTAATTAAAAAAATGTATGTAGGAATTGGGACGTTCCTCTTTCCGCCGGTGATGAACTATATAATTGAAGGATACGGGTGGCAGTCTGCGCTTCTCTTCCAGGCTGGCAGCATCCTCTTGTGCGGTCTGTTCGGATTGCTGTATCGTCCACTCAAGCCTACCAAAGGTGCGAAATATGTAAATGAGCTAGTCATTTAAACTTAAACTTATCTATTTGTCCTGGTGCAGTTCTTCCAGATATGAATCGCCGGAAAAGTGCAGTTAGTTCAATAATCGGATCTCCAGAAGGGACCCCATTGCTCCAACGAATTCAGAAAGCTCGTCAGATGGAAAAGTGGGACTCGGTTAACAGCTTCACATCCACCGAGGCTCTTCCAGAGGTTGACACGAAGGTCAAGTCAGAAAGGTTGTACAATCGCGCTCGGAAAACGTCTGCACATTCCTTGGGTGGCACTGGAGCCGTTCTTGCACAAAAACGCGGCTCCGTCCCCACAATGCTGGGCTCCAGTGTGGACAACCAATTCCTCGTGCCTGCACAACCACCAAAAGGCAAAAGTTTTGTGGGGCTGCCAGATCTCAAGGAAATTGCAGAGGAAGACCACTCTGAGGAGCATTCGAGAGAAGGGAGCGTCATCCCGCAGAAAGCAGGCAAGTAAATACTCAAAGGTTCAGCACTAGTCAATTGCCAAATAATTCAAACAATAAACTCTGTGAATACTACAGAGAACCATAAACCTGATCCTTCTTCCAATGTCGCAATGGACGGGAATGAAAATCACACCCTTCTCGTCGCCAGAAGCAATTCTACATTCGTAGCCAAAATTGGGAGCTCGATGTTAGTTGTGAATGAGATGACGCAGTCTCGCATCCTCCGAGTAGCGAGCAAAGTTTCTCTAACAAAACCAATGTACAGAGATGACATTTTCTACTCTGGAAGTTTGCTACGACTTCCACAATATGCAAATAACGTAAGCAATACATATATCATGGATGTAGCATGCAAATATGTACATTGATAACCTGAAGAGTTCATAATGTAGGTCAATAAGGTAATGACCAGCACTGAGTGGACAGCCGCGGTGTCCAGCGTGCCTCCAGGAACGACAGGAGAGGACGAGTTCGATTCTGCTGGTGGCGGTGCTTGTTGCTCTCCAGGAATCCTCAAGAAAATGCTGGACGTTTCCCTCCTGGTTTCTCCGACCTTTCTCCTTCTCTCCATTTCCGGATTCTTCACAATGTTGGGCCTCTTCGTATGAACCCATGAATTTGTTTATCAATATAAGAACACCCCTTCACTGAGCGCATTTGCATTCCGCAGGTGCCATTCATCTACTTGAAGGGTGTCGCGACCGAGTCTGTGGGGCTAACCGTGTCCATCGCCACAATGCTGGTCTCAATTATCGGCATCGCCAACACCACGGGTCGAGTCGTAGCTGGTTATATCGCTGACAGACCTGAGATCAACGTACTCTTTCTGAACAACGCGTCCGTGACCATTATCGGCGTGGCCACTGCATTGGTCCCATTTCTCAACTCGTTCAACGCTCTGGTTGCATTTGCCTGCGTATTTGGACTGGCCATGGGTAACACCCACTAGCTTAACTCAGCTAAAACCAATTGTAAATGTTGAATTAATCGTTAACGTGTTGCAGCCTTTTACGCCTCCTTGAGGTCCATTCTACTCGTCGAGCTGCTCGGATTGGAAAAACTGACGAATGCGTTCGGCTTGACCCTATTGTTTCAAGGCATTGCTTCCATTCTGGGCACTCCGTTAGCAGGTATTTAGATCACTCGTGTACTAGCGTATGTGGTATTAATTATGACAAGATTGCATTTTCTTGTCATCGCAGGTTTCTTGTACGAAGCGACTGGAGCCTACCACATCCCTTTCTGGGTGGCTGGGAGTTTCATAATTTTCTCCGGCGTCATGTGCTACCCCCTCAACTGCGTGAAACGATGGGAGGACGACAGAAATAAAAAGAAAGACAAAGCGGAAAATAATCAAGCGTGATACTAACTTAAAATCGAGTTAGGCTATGAAGAAATGTGTGGTGGACTAATTGCAATAAACAATTTAGAGAACTATTTATACAACATATATTTTTTATAGTCACGATATTTTGTTTCTGAGAAGGCTTTATTTCAACAACTTTATTTAAGCAAACAAGTAATGTGTGAAAAAGCGTGAAGATTATCCTGATGCATAAAAGTCGAGACGTGGAAGACTTGATTTATTAGACAGAGAGTATGGAAGACATTGTTGTAAATTTATACTACATACGTTCAATATGTACGTAACAATCACCAGAGTAGAATATGTAGATTTAATAGCTCAAGAGTAAGAGTTATAGCCACCGCAGCCATAAAAATAATGGCGTTCAATTTGCACCCACTGTTCCCACCTGCTGCAGGAAGAAGAAGAGTGTTATGCTTACAATTTTTTTAACACAGTTTCGAATTTATCAAAGAAAATGCTGGCATGTTTGGGTTGGAAAACGAGGGTGGGTCTGAAACGTAGCGCGTTCTCGCCACATCCACCGGCTTGCACACCTTTGAAATGCCAAGGATATAAGAAAAAGATTAAAAGGTTTTCAAGTGCAACAAACTTAATCTCCACAAAATACTTAGATAAAGTGCATACCTTGTTCTCTCAAGAGGTTGATGATCTTATCACGCAGTTGTCCATTTGCGCAGTTTATGGCGCAAAATGTTCCCAAGCCCCGAGCAGAGTTGAGATGATTTGGATACTTGTTCTTTAATCAGAATTGTAAAATAAATACTCGGCAGGTTTATGTGGGCATATTGTGATATTGTGCAAATATAGTTTTACATACTTGGAATTCCTTTAGTTGCTTCAGCATGAGAGATCCCGTACTCTGCACATTTTCCAGCACATTGTCACGTTTAATTATTTCCAGAATTTTATTCAGGATCTGAATCTTGGAGGGTTCTCCCATCCAAGTGTTAAAAATTCTATAGCTTTGGTCCGGTCTGAAAATTAAATAGATTCCATCAGTAAACATTAGCGAAATTTTGGATTACTTATAGCTGTAGCTACTGATAAGCTTCGAAGTTCTTTGTACCTAAATTCAGGTTTATGATAAAATCCTCCAGTTTGCATCTTTTTGCTAAAAGTGACAATATCCGGCGTTTCGGGGAGATTAAAGTGTTCGTGGCCCCACATTTTGCCCGTGGGTCCTCCTCCCGTTTGAACCTCGTCTATGAGAAGAGCCACACCCTTCGTCTTGGCCAACTTTTGGAGGCCTTGGAAAAATTCGGGGGATCCATGATTGTCCCCACCTTCGGCCTGAATGGGCTCCACAATGATTCCAGCCACCGGATTGCCCTTCTTCTTCCAAATGTCAATCAACTCTTCAACGTTGGCTAAGCACTTCTTGTCCTCGGCCTTATTCTCTCCAACGTTGTCCTCCAGTGGGTACTTGTACACTGGAAATCTGGCAACAGGCCAATCGAACGAGGGGACATCAATCTTGTGGATAGCTTTGGAATGAGTGCAGGTCAAGGCCGCAAGAGTTCTGCCATGGAACGCTCCTACAAAAATATTTAGTGGTCACTGGTCAAATGTACATCAAATCATTATTCACACGGCAATCAAATTGATTTCCATACCATGAAAGGCGAGAATGGAAAGAGGTGGGCTGCCCGGTGGCAAATTGTTCATGCATGAAGTCAGCTCATCCGGAGTGAAATCCTTCCCTCCGCGCTGTTGCTTCCGATACCAGAAGAAAATGGCTTTGAAGGCGTTCTGTTGGAAACGACAAATGACGGTGCTTATTTTGACAACTTTTATTTATGGGCAAGTGACACCAATAGTTTGAGAAAATCCTACCTCGTTGGAACAAGAGCCACAAGCCATCGTGGTTACGTGTTTTAATCCTTTGGGTGCTACCTGTAGCAGTGACATTGACGCTATTTCAACTCTGATTCTGACACTTGAGTGAGTGGGGCATAAAAATGAATAATTACCGAGAGAACGGAATCCTTCAGTTCTTGGACCCAGTCTCCTCCAGGATAAACGCCGAGTGCAGGCCGATTCACAAGAGTGCGCTGTCAATTCATCAAAATCCGCCGCCATAAATTTTGCTACAAGTTTAGTATGCACATAAATAAATAAAGAGTCTCACAATGTGATGAGGATCTGAGAAGAGGGCAAATAATTCCGGATGGTTGTAACCCAAGGGGATGGACGAGATTTGGGTGTACACGTCCAAAAACACATTCCCATCAACATCAACCAAGTAGTTGCCATAGGATTTGTCATAGTCTGCAAATTAGTCTTATTTATTACTCTTGCCAATGACACTCAATTTTCATCAAGTCCGACCACTTCTGGCATTGCATGAAAAATTGGTGTGTGTGGTTATGCTCACCTGCAAAAAGTTGAACACTGCCCGCTTGCTGTAGAAAATCATAGCATACACGTTAACACGTTATAAGTAATTTAAAGAATGACTTTTGCATCGTAATGCTTCTTAAATATTTCATCCAACCGTGAGTTTGTTGAGTTCATCCATCAGTTGCTTGGACTTTGGTCCAGGCATGCTCGTCTTCATGGAAGGCCCGGAAGGTTCACCTGCGATATTTAACGACGCCATACCCCGAACAACTACCCCTGTACAGTTATCAAGATATTAATATACATTTTCAATTCTGCTTAATTTACAATTCAGTTCAAATGCATGCAATATGTTACCCTTGTGGGAAGACGCCCGTCCTAGAATCTGGAGTGAACGTAACATTGTATTTGAAGAAAAAAACGATATTGACGACTGCAATAAATTTTCAGTTTTTTAATACAACCGAGCACTTTGGATGGAATCTGCAATAAAACTGTTGGTAAATTCGCTTGGTCCCGTTAAGTGGTATGGAACGAAAATAACTCTTGTTTTGCGAGGAGGAGAGATTTATTAGGCAGCCGTCCGTGTGGCAGTGTAAAAGTTGGTTGGTCTCCGTGGCTTGTGTAAACTAAACAAATTCTGATCGGCAGCTTTATTGAGTGCCAAGGTCGTCCAATTTAAAAACTCATCCTCAGTTGGGCGAAGACCCCGTTACATAAAAAACCATCCTCGTCAGCAGCAGCAACAGCACCAATGAACCACACGGCTTATCATCACCCAAACACTTGATGAATCAGTCTGCTCAGCAATAAAGTGTGTAAGTGCAATATGAAGTAGGCAATTACTATTTCGCAACCAGTTTCACCAATCGAGACAGCAATGATACTTATGTAATTGGGAAAACGAGACGAATTTATGAAAGCGTTAAAATATTTACTATTAAATTTACGACAATACTCAAAATATATATTTTTTACAGAAATCAAAACAAGAGGTTTACTTGCTGGTTGTTGGATTGGGATATGTAACAACAATGGGTCTATGTTGTTGTGAACCACTTTTTAATCTAGTTGGTTGGCCCGTCAGGGAATGTGTTGCTGGTGGATCAGGTTAACTTGATGGCATTTATATTCAAGGTCGGAGTCGCTGTTGCTGGTTGACTCTCCTCCAGAGTTGGTTACGTTACACACGCCACTTTGACTGCGCTGGAGAGTTCCCAACGAAAACTGAATAATGTTGCGTTGTAGAAGCGTATGAAAATCAAGATTATATCGCAATCACTAACTCCTCCATTTCATGAATATCTCCTGCAAATATTCAACAGTTGGTGTATTAATTCGTGGCCGGTTAGTAGCAGTCGGTGTCGAAATCGTGTAAATCCGCAGTAAAGAGGTCAATTTTATGATACGTATTACAGCGCAATGCTTGTTGGTCCATTTTGTGAGAACTGGGGTGGAGTATGTACATAGGTGTACGGAAGAACAATTAATTTATGGAATTAGTTAAAGGCAGACTGCGTGCATGCCCACAGAGCGGGTTCAGCCGTGGAGAGAAAGCAAGTGTGGAGAAAGCATTCGAAATTCCGAGGGAAAGTCAATGCTCGGCCACTCGGCTGTTTCGTCGACGCTTTTTCGGAGATGGACATCGGGTGGACGTTGCAGAATTTCGGAGGCATCTTTCTCCAAGTGCATGCACGGCGAGTTTTCATGCATGAAAATCGCGTATGAAAAGTAAGGATATGCATTTAGATGACTGAATTGAGAATTAGCTTTGTTCATAGTTTATAATTTTGTTGCCTTTAATGCGAAATTTTTATTTAAAGTTAACAATCATTTTCAAACTAAATATCAGAATGTAAACCTCAATCGTGCCAATCTGCACAGTTTTCCATCGTCCCCGCACATGCACGCTCCATCAATTGTCATACAGTTTCAAGAATACCACGATCCTTGTTATCCTAAAAGTACACGTAAAATAAGACAAAGACCGTGTGTCGCTTAAACCCAACTCTTATATAAAAGCTTGGCATCTCTTTTTGAGTAACTATTTATTCGGTTATTCAAAATCAATAATTTTTGATACGACAAAAAAGTCTACAAGTTATTCATACGGAGACACTCTATTTTCTATCATAGTTGACATTGCAGATCAATTTTTTACAAAGTGTACACAGAAACGCTATCGTATGTAATACGGAATATGTATGTATGTATCTGTAGCCGAAGTAGAAATAATAATCTTGTCCCCTGCTATTAGTGGACACCTGTACATAATTATTTATTAGACTGGTAAGTAGTGAGTAGTGAATTGATGAGATAAAAGTTGATTGATTTTCCTCAGATATGCCTCTGTTGGGTGTGTGGTTGGACTATCATATCCTAATCCTACGAGCTATGGAGTACTCCTCACAAATAAGACTCACGACATTTATTGGTTTATTATGTAATTTTGCTACCTGTAGAGTTGGTTATAATAGGTTGTGAAAATCATAGATCTTTATATTATTTATGTACCTGAAAATCCTAGGCTAAAACCTACACTGCTATTAATTCACGTAAAATAGTAGGAACATTTACCATGTTGACTGAGTCTGCACCTTTAATTTGCATTTTTATTTGACAGGACTCCACCACCACCACCACGAGAAGAAGAAGTATCAATTTTTTATGTGACAAAGTAGGAACTTTCACCGTTTTCTTTCGTATGAACTTTTTCAAGACATTTTCGACGAGATTTCTTTTTTGTACAGTACACAAACACTTTTTATTTATTTATTTATTACTTAGAGCTATCAAATAAATGGAATTTGATCACAAAATGAAGACAAAAAACCTTGCAGGCTGGAATGTTAACTACAACATGCATCAAAAATAAATAATATGGAAAATAAATAAAATAATAAAAAAATTAGTGAACAAAACCGTTCCATTTTACTACTTCATACATATTAAATGAAGTTGGTTAATAAATAATAACAAATAATCGAGCAATAACAACTGCAAAATTATAATTAATAATTATACTAGGTTCTAGGTCATACATAGGTACAAAATTATCATCACCTAAAATTATAACCACATTTTGCAATAATTTCAGCTACTGAACTAAATTATTATGAAAATCGTTTTAAACCGGGACCGTTTATCAACGGGATTATTAATATTATAATTATTAAAACTCAGGTTTATATTCACCAGGAAATTATGTATGTACGTAGGATGATGCCCTCGCTAAATAATTTACAATTTACGTCATCCATCATGGTAATAATTATAGGGAGTTGCAATATATAGCTGCTAGTTAGCTATAAATTGTCGTTGGGTGATGAACTGGGTTTTGGGAGGGGGAGGAGTAGGTCGAGGACGAGGAATATGCTGCTGATAATGATGATGATGGTGAAGAATCTCGGAAGCCTAAGCCTAGGAACTCAGTCATTCAGATTTGATAGTCAGGGGGTTATTATTAGTGGAGTGGGGTGGGGTGTGACTTGGGGAGGAGGGGTAGCTGGTGACAAGAGACAACGGGGCTCCAGACATTCCGTGTGGGGAAAACATTGCATGATGCATCGACGGGTGGCTCGGGCTTCCGAGGGGGCTACCCATCCCTGCGCTCGGCGGATTGATACGTTTCTCCTTTTGTCGCCTGCTTGACAATATAGAAAAACAAAGGAATGTACAACTTCACTTTATGAAATATAGTAAACCACTTTGTGGTATTAAATGTTTCTTAATTTAATAAATTAAATTAGGAATACCCAACCCCAATGAATTAGATTTGAGCCTCACCGATTGCAAAACCTGTGAAAATAATAAAGTAAATACATCAATACAATAAATTCAAACAAACTATTAACTTATTAATTCACTTGTAGACATATGTATGTGGTTACTTACCACACGCGAATAACTTCCTTCTCCATGTTCAAGTTCTCCGCAAGGATTGAGATCTCTTCGGACGTAGGTTTCGGATTTTGGATGAAAGCCCTCTCCAGCGCCACCCTGACCGTGGTCTCGATCGAGGTGCGCTTCTTCCTCCTCCGACCCACTGCTTCCGGCGTGGTGTGCGGATTGGAGAGTGCGCTTGGGTTGTTTAGAGAATTGTCCGCATCCTCCAACCACTTTTGCAACAGAGGCTTCAACTTGCACATGTTTTTGAAGGACAGGTTGAGAGCTTCAAATCTGGAAATTGTCGTCTGAGAGAAATCGTTCCCATACAATTTGCCCATTGCAAGACCTACGTCGCCTTGTGTAAATCCTGCAACAATAGATCAATCTCATTATTTCCTGCTACTTAAGATGATGAATACACGCCATTCGATTTCTAGGAAACGGGAAACTCACCCAGCTTTATTCGTCGCTGTTTAAAAGTTTTGGCAAACTGTTCCAACTCTTCCAAGTCTGTAGTTTCGTCGATTGGAGGTTCAGAAACGAGCAGTCTGGGCGTGGATGACTTGATATGATGAGTAACATGCGTTTGAGGAGGGGACGCTGGAGAAATTGGCGACGGGGTGACACGGTTGGGTTGATGGTTCCTCTGGTGATGATCATGGTTGAGAAGGGTGGGCGACTGATGGTGGTGATGGGCGTGGTGGAACGGCGACTGCTGATTTACACCATGATGATTCTGCCCATGTGAAATGTGTTGTTGTTGCTGTTGCTGCTGTTGTTGAGAGTGGGAATTTTGTTGAGATTTCTGTAGTTGTTGCAGGCTTTGCGCCACATGAGCTGCTGCTGCTTGCGCGACCTGAAATTTCAATCAACGAATAAAATAAAAAGTTAATGGTTTGTTATTTCACTTTGTTTATTCTTATTGCCATAAATCAAAATGGATTAATTATCATGCAGGCACATCATAAAAACAAGACGAGAGGGAGAGTGCATGCAAATTACGAATTATCATTTCTCTCATGATCATCACTGCGGGGATCTTACAGAGTCCAGTCACATATTACACACGAATCATTTGTTAACTCGTTAATTGCATTCATTTGTTTGGTTGGAAGGTGTAAATGTGCCATCTAATGCTTAGCATTTCAACATTTTGAAGTCAGAACTGAGGAATATGTAATCATCTCAAAGGATCAGGAGATAAAACAATATTTATGTAAAGTAGGAGAGAGAGAGAGAGAGGAAGAAGCAGATTCTGACTAAACGGAGTTGAGACAGAAGCGGATTTCACTTGCCAGCCATGTAATTTGTAATCTCGACAAGAACAAGAACAAGCAAAAGCGAGTCTCAAAAGCAGGATCAGCAGCTACATAGTCCAGTTATTAGCAAGTTGTAAGACATCATGAAGTTGAAATATTGAGCAAATTTGAATGTGATGAATGCTAATGAGTTACAAGTCCTTCGCCTGGTAGGACATTGTTGGATTCATGACATTGCCCAGCGGTGGCCAACGTACGTTCATGCAGGTAGATTTTCTCAAAAAATACAGACAATTTTCTTTCGTGGTACTCACATTTAAATGTTTCTTCACCTGAGTACTAGCAGCAGCAGCAGCAGAAGAGGATGAAGAAGAAGTGGAAGATGATGTTGCAGGATTATTGTTGCTCGATCTTGACGAAGCCAAGCCAGAAAAGTTTGAAGAAAAGAGACTTTGATTCAACAAACTCTGCAGATGGAAACAAGACAGAAATACTTAATATGAATGAAACCTTCAAAAACAATTTGAATAAATTAAAACATTATTCAAATGAGCTTCATCATATTTATTTTAAGGAAAAAGCAACAAGTCTTTTAGGCGACGCTTCTATAAGATTGCTTACATTATTTGCATCCAAAGAGCAGGACATTATTGGCGCTTGGTGTTGGAACATAGGCGGCTAATAAATGGTAAGTATGTATATACAATAAGCAAAATAAAAGTAGGTGGTCTTACTAATTATAATGATAATGACTGGATAAAATATATAAGCATTGTATACTTCCAGCAGTATTTATTAATAAATAAATTGTATTTACCTGATTTTGGAGGTAGAATTGAGTGGGCGGAGGCAGCGCCGACCCCCCCGTCCCACCAGCCGTCTGACCAAACATGACTAACTGCTGCAACGTCTGCTGAATATTTTGCTGCTGTTGTTGCAACTGCTGCTGAAGTGCCTAACCACACACACAAATTAGAAATAATATTAAAATTATGATTATGATGATCACACTTTCACTTGCCTATGCGATTCTCAACAAATTAACAAATTTAACCACTGCCTGATTTAAATTCTAACAATTGAAAGACTTGTAAAACTAGTTAATATTTATTCGAGGAATCTGTATGATTTGCTAAATTCAATTCGATGGTATTCAAAATTATTTTAAATTGAACCACGTTGCATAATAACCTAATAAAAGTATGGAATAAATTATTCCGAATCGTGGTTCTCGAGGAGGGAAAGGCCTCACTTCTGACTTTACTTTGCTAATGCAAGTTTTATTGTGGTTTTTCAACTCACCTGTAATTCCTGACTTCCAAGGGTGGCTGCGGATGCGAACTGATTCTGTAGGAAGAATTGCTGACCACTCAAACTCATCAACTGCAACGAGAAGCAAGGAATAAGTTAAAATCTAAAATCTAGTGCCAATTTTCAGTTCTTCGTATTCTTATCTCTTAATTCTAAAGATTATGATTATGCACAACGTTCACAAATCGCGAAGCAGTGCAGCCCAGCTAATAATCCTGAGTTGGTTGAGCATGAAAAGTACGCCGGGTTTGGACGGTGCCTTTGTCTATGCAAATCTATCAATGTTATTCCGTTGGACGGACTCTCTGAAATTGACTTGGCTGCATGCTGACGAGAGAGAATTGAGAAATTATACACAAAGAATGTCTCCATTCATTTGGAGTCCATATATTCCAGCAAATTGCAAGGTTACTCCAGCCAAAAGTTTAAAATAATTGGGCGAATGAATGAAAATGTATTTTTCCTCTTTCATACCTGATTAAGTGATAATTGTCCAGCCTGTAACGCAGCCAGTGCAGCCTGGATCCCTGCGGGGGAAGGGGCCAAAGGGGACGGTGGGGAAAGTTGACCTCCATGATGCCCATTCGCCTGTCCCCCACCACCACCCCCATTCTTGGAGAGATGGCTGTGAATGTGGTGGTGATGATGGTTGTTGTTGTTGTTGTTGAGGTTGGTGTTGTTATTGTTTAGGTGGCGTTCCCTCTCACGGTCACGATGGCTGTTGTGGTTGTTGTTGGACCTTGACCTTGCTCTGGGCGAGTGGGTGGCGGAGGTCACGAGGTTGAGGGCACCGCCGACGACCTTGTCCGAGTCCATTGAGTCCCCATCCTCCTCGTCCAAGTCCGAGCGTGACCTTTCCTCCTCTTCCGACAGGAGGTCCCCGTTGAGCCCATTGTCTGAAAGAGTCCGAATACAAGAAGATATGAAATTTTTGTGCAGTTTTTGCAGCAGACACTTTTTCACTGTGCTATTTATCGTGTGGTGCCGTGAGGGAGGTGAAGTACTACTAGAACTAATTGTCGGACCAGCAGCAGCGTCCATTTCTGCCAAAAGAAGAAAGAAAGACTTGAGGAGGTGAGACTGCAAGCCTAAGAATAACAATTATGCGACCTCCACCCTTCAAGGAAGGATAATAAGTAACAACTGTGGTGGGGAACAGAATAATGATCATTGGTTGGTATGCGGGCAAAAATATTTAGTCATTCAGTCATTCGTTTATGTGATTCGATTTACATGTTGACGGGAACTGATTTAAATTCGCCATAATTTAGAGCAACCGTAGCATCGAGAGAAGACTGCAGCACAATAATCTACGACCAAATAACGAAGGAATATGAATAAGCATAAGAATAAATAAGCACGAGTTGTGACTGCAATAACTCGTTTTCTCCACCCAAACGATGCTGGCGAATTCAAATTGGATCGTCTAAAGAATGTTGAATTTAAATGGTATGCGTGTCCTCGTTGCATGTGTCATCTATAAATTCAGAAATCGATTACACTCCTCTCTCTCACTGGCTGGAAGACTCGATCTTCTTATAGTACGTACATACATACTTGTACATACGTACGTACGTACAAGTGAGGAAGTAGTGGACAGCATTTGAATCTCAATTTCCTCAACTTGAGCACACATGATGCATTCAAAATAGTAAAATACGGATGACGACGATAACATTTTCCCTGCTCTACTGTCTTTGGGGCTCGATTTCCCTTTATTGAGGGAGATTAAAACGTAAAATAGCTTAAAAAGTGAAAGAAAGGGATGAACTTTGATGCAGAACTTGACCATGTACGTCTTCCCTTCCTGTTTCGTAAGAGGGACCCACAGATTCGGAGTCGTCCTCCCAACACCTACACCCACATCTCCAGCTTCGACCACGCCACGACGCGACATACCCACTCCCCCAGAAGAGCAAATGTCCAGAATTCCCCCTGAATGAATACAACGAATGGAAAGAGAGACGTTGTTCTCTCTCTCTCTGGTGGACATTTGAGACATTAGTATTCCTCGAATGGTTACGAGATGGTCACTTCTGGGCAGCGCTTTGACCATTTTATGCAAGATGCATGTAAAATACGTCGATTAAAATACATCTTCTCTCAAGAACTTGCACCACCACGCGGCTGCTGCTGCTCTTCTTATTCTGCTCCCAAATATATTCCGCTCGGACCAAAAAATACGTGATCAGAATCTCATTTCCGAATGGCAAACCCCACGCCACCACCAACGGCCACTGCCAACAACAAAGTCATCATCCATCTTGCACTTCATGCCATGAATCTCTCTATTCAAATTGGATGCAAAATGAAAATTCAAAAAATTACGATTTTTTGGAAAGAGCTGAGTGGGTATTATTGCGTCGGATAAGAATGGGGGTTCGAAGTGGCGATAAAGTTATGTCATAAAGAGGCAGATTGTGAAAGGCTTCTTGGTGGTGGTGATTTTCGGGTGGGGAAGAGTTGGCGAAGATTCAATTTAATTTATATAAAGAGAACAAGAAGGTGCTATTCATTTTGCTCTCTCGGACACTTGGGTCACTTCTCAATGATCTCACTCCCCTGGGACACGAGGCCTGCACTCTGGCTTGGTCCCCCTCCACGCCTCCTGCCACCCAGCTCAGCCTGACCAGCAACAGGGTGGGTCGGAGTAGTGGACAAGCAGTCGGACTGTGTCGTCCCCAACCCTTTCACCATTAGGTACTTACGAGCATACATACGTGGACATATATCCCCATGTGCCTCATCCTCATCCAATGTAATGTAATGCACAATAATGCGGAGTTGAGATATTTATCTTCGCTCTCACCATGCACCGTTGACTATTTCAATTTCTTTCTCTCATTTACAAAGTACCATTATCCTCTCTTTTCTTCATCCCCAGTGGCCACCACCACCTTTGATCTGACCCACTCCAGATATTTACTTATTTTATGGACTCTCTGGCTGGCGGATGAATTGATAGTCCAATTCACGAGATAAGCAAATGGATCCTGGACGAGGAGGAGGAGGAGAGGTGGACATGGACGAGAAGAATGGGTCCAGTTTTTCTGCAGCTGGAGGACGCAAACATCAGATGGACTTTCCATTTCCTTCTGAACCCGATCCGATTAACTTTCCCCAGGCATGAGGAGAAGAAAGGACCAGAAATCACGACTACATATACACTCTCTCTCTCCCCCGTAAGTGGAGATGAGAAACGGATCGCATTTCTCATGTCCACCACCACCAGATGTATACATATATCTGTCGTGGGCTATGTATTACTCTCGGCGACATGACTTTCTCCGTGGCCGTCGAATTCTGTCTGGCAAATTCGGAGAGAAAAGATTTAGTTTGCATGTAAATTTGAGAGACAGCCCCCCGAGGAGGAGAGGACAGCTGTTAGCCATTCCTGGAGAACTTAATCCTCGCCGTGGGCTTATCCAAAAAAGAGTGAGAAATTGTGTTAAGGACTTATCCATGTTTTTCCCAGAGTGAGGAATGGCTTGGCTTGGTGGCATGGCGAAGGAGTGTGGGAGATGGAGAGAGGAAGAAAAATGCTAAAATGGTCGATGTAAATGGAGGAGAAAACAAAGAGTGGAGTTAATGGCAAAAGTGGATTTGAGACTGGCTTCCGGGCACAGCGTGACGTCCATTCCATGGCTGGACCACGGGCTGGACGACACGAATCAATATCTATTCCTCCACACAGTGCATGTCATGCAAGCCCATTTCCCTCGAATCTACAATGCTACGTTACGTAGTCGCAGGTCCCAGAATGGGATGAAAAATAGGAGCGAGTTGTATTAAACAGGATTTGGTTCTTGAATAGTAGTGAGATCTCATGAATCTCGTTTGACGCTGGACCATGCATGTGTCCTCTGCCTGTTTGCTTGACCAATATCAATGTCCATTCATCCGTCTTCCTCTTCCCAAACAAACAGACTGACCTCACCGCCTCACCACTGAAATCAATCCAACTCTCAATCTCCATTTCATTCTCTCTCTCTCCGTCTCCCGTGCACCGTCTGAGAAGGAAGACGCGTCGGGTGCACCAGGAGTGAAAGGAAGACAGACAATAACTTTGAATCGAGACCAGTCCGGATGGATTATGGACAGGTGTGAATGCCTTTGCTGGCTTATTCTGTCAACAGCAGAGGCACGACGGACCAAAAAATGTAGTATTTTGTAATTAATTTTGCTGGAGAAATATTTAGTGTCGCACCTTCTCCACCTCATTCTTGGAGGAAAAGATGATGATGAGATTACATTTGATGGTGGCGAGGCGACACATTAATGAATTATGAGCAAGTCTCTGGTGACACTTTGATTGGACAAAGTAATTCCGATGAAAATCCAGAAATCCACTCCCAACCCCGGACTCCTGCCACTCATCATCACGGAAATAATATCTCGCCCGCATTGCTGGGATTGCAGCGTGGCAATTCCTGGCTGGCATGATGATGATGATATTATCAGAGCTTTTGCTAAATTGATAAATTACGGGCAGGACAGGTACGGTCCGGCATTATCGTCATGTGGCATCATCAGCCTTGGAAATTGTATCAGTTACTAATGTCGACTCATCTTTTTTTCTTCCTTCTCAGACTCAGAAGTCATCAGAGGGAGACGAGGAACGTAACACCTTCGCCTCTAATGATTATCTAAAATCCCGTGTGATATCCGTCGTCAATCATTTTTCACTTAATTGGACTTGCCAGCAGAGGAGAAATCATAGAAATAAATGGGTGTCAACGTCACGCTGAAAGTTGGTGGCACGTCATTAAAAGATTTAGCTCTCACTTTGACCGTGCTCATCCGCAGATCAGTCCATACCTCCTTCTCAACACATATCTCAAGATGCTATGAAAACATATAAACTTTCTCCGACCCAACAGTGAAAAATGGAGGTGAGGACTTTGAGCAACGTTCGATGCATGCAAATCCAGCATTGCTTTTCTGTTGGAAAACTTGGAGAGCTGTGTGAGCGAGGTGAAAAAGTGTAAGCTTTTTGATGATATTCCTCCTCTCCAGGCAAATTTGTGGATGCAAAACGGCTTAAAAGGCGGAGAACGTGGCATAATAAGAGGTAAAGAGTGGGGCGAGCGAGGCAGGTCGCCGATGGTGGGACGTGAGGTGCTTTCTGAGCGCGGAACAATGGGAGGGTGCGAGAAGGAAGGGGGCATTCGCTGGGAAGTTGGCATCTAAAAATGTGACGACCTCAGCTCTTGGCCTCCTCCACCCGTCGTCGTCCGTCTTCACGTCATCTTTGTGAAGACGGCCCATGGTGACGAGAGGGATGATTCCGCGGTGACAGGAGGAGAAAGAACTCGCAAAGACTTTTATCTCTCCGTTTAAGCCAACAATAAGCGGTGGATGGTGAAGGTTCTGTTCTCCGTGGAGGAGAACTTGCTTATAAAAATTGATCGCAAACATTATTATGCCAATAAATGCCAGGGAACAAAATCCACTGAAAATCCTGAATGCTGATGTGGTCAGTTTTCAGCCAGCTCTTCTTATATCGTATCATCCTCGTCGTATTTTGGTTGTTTGGACGATAAGCTAAAGGACAAGAGAAGATGGAATATGCAGATAAGCCACAAATCTCGCCAACCTCCTGGGGAGCACTGTTTATACTTTTTTATAGTCGAACGTACAACAACAACAAAGCTCCTCTCCGCTCGCTCTCCTCGCCATATTTCATTTCTGCACTTGGATGGGAATCAAGAGCGTTTAGCACCCACCATAACTCTACGGGTTTTCCACCACCACGACCCCGGGTTGCGTGACGTGACTCCCCTCTGAATTTGAATAATTAACAGAATTTGGATATGCGAGGAGGAGCTTTTGCGCATCCACTAATTGCTAATTCATTCAGAGGCCAATTCCACATTTCACGAAGAGGTGGCAGTTG